AAAACCCCATCTCTACTAAAAATACAAAAACTACCTGGGCATGGTGGTAGGTGCCTATAATCCCAACTACTCAGGAGGCTGAGGCAGAAGAGTTGCTTGAACCGAGGTGGGGAGGTTGCAGTGAGCCAAGATCGCACCACTTCACTGCAGCATGGGTGAAAGAGTGAAACTCCATCTCAAAACAACAAACAAAAATGCAATGGGGAATTGCTAGTCCATGAGCTCAGTCCATGTGAGCCGTTCAAATTGTTGCCTGGGCACTCTGATTTCCTTTTTTATGTACCCTCCATGATTTCCACTGACTTCCCCATCAGTTCCAGCTGTTTATAGCTGCAGAAATAGAAGGAAGTGGACTTGCCAAGGTTCACACAGTGAATCAGTACTTGGACACCCAGGTCCCCAGACTCCAAATACTGAGCCCCTCGCACCTTATAAGGGAGGGAGAAAAAAGCTCTGTCTGCCAGGGGTTCTCTATAAGGGTGGTTGACTGAGACTGTCATAGTCTTTTGAGGGGGCCTGAAGTCTTTGCCCTTCTCCCAAAGCTGATCTCTCGGCCTTCTGAAGCCCTTCCGGCTCAGCCAGTGTGGAGAACTGAGGGGGCGGAACAATGAGGAGCCTGTGCCACTCGCCAGGCCTGGAGTCCGAACATTGCAGCCATTCCTACTCAGGGACCCTGCACATTCCCGCCCCCTGTCCTGTTCTGGGTCAAACCCTGACACACCTGCCCTTCCCCATCCTGACAGCTCCCAGATGGTGGGAAAGCTCCCAGGACTATGCAAAACCTCTCAAAGCATTTTAAAAACCTGCACACAGCCTGACGCCCAGGAAATTTCCAAGCCTTTCTGAAATCATGGTCTCTAAGCAGACAGGCAACCCCTGGCAGGACTTCCAAAGAAACTAACCCCATTCTTGCAACAAGCAAGCTTTCAAGGAGGCCCTGCCCAGTGCCAGGCAGGCTGCAGGCCAAGATGAGATGATGTGGTCACTGCTCTCCACCGATGTGGACAAAATCACAACACAAGATTAGCGTTGTAATGAGGAAAGCTTCTGGTGGGGCCAGGGAAGGCTTCCTGGAGGAGGTGGTAATGGGAAGGTCATCAGGTTCTCTGCCTGGGTCTAAACCTTCCTTGAATAGCCACCTTCTGGTTGCTCAGTCCCCCTGCCCTCCTGCCACTGGCTCACTTGCATTCTCTGTTTCAGCCACACCACTCACAATCCTCAAAAAGGACTAGGTTCTCTCTGGCCTCCATGGCTTAACCCTTGCAGCCTTCTTTTCCCTTTGCAGGGGAAGCTCTTATTCCACCTCCAGAACTCAGATTAATAGTCGTATCTCCAGGAAGCCTTCCTTGACAACCCCCTTCCCCAAGAGTTAGGTACTTCTGTTCCATTTTTAGTTCTGTACTTCTCTTGCTGCGGTAGTTTTATGATGTGTCTTTTGGCCTGGCACAGTGGCTCACACCTGTAATCCCAGAGGCCTAGGTGGACAGACTGCTTGAGGTCAGGACTTCGAGACCAGCCTGAACAACATGGTAAAACCCTGTCTCTACTAAAAATACAAAAATGAGCTGGGCATGGTGACATGTGCTTGTAGTCCTAGCTTCTTGGGAGGCTGAGGTTTGAGGATCGCTTGAACCTGGGAGGTGGAGGTTGCAGTGAGCTGAGATCACACTACTGCACAAGACTCCCTCTCAAAAATAAATAAATAGGCTGAGTGCGGTGGCTCACGCCTGTAATCCCAGCACTTTGAGAGGCTGAGGCGGGTGGATCATGAGGTCAGGAGATTAAGACCATTCTGGCCAATTTGGTAAAACGCTGTCTCTACTGAAAATACAAAAATTAGCCGCGCTAATTTTTGTATTTTCAGTAGAGACGGGGTTTCAGTGCACCTATAGTCCTGGCTACTCGGGAGGCTGAGGTAGGAGAATCGCTTGAACCCGGGAGGCAGAGGTTGCAGTGAGCCGAGATCCGGCCACTGCACTCTAGCATGAGCAACAGTGAGACTCCATCTCAAAATAAAAATAAATAGTTTGTCTATTTATACCTCTGTAACCTCCAATTTGTGAGCTCTTCTGATGCAAGGACATCTTCTTTGCCATTACATTCTTGGTGCCAGGCCTAGGTATGTGACATGTCTCTGCAGGGTTCAAGAGGACAGCTATATGATACATGGCGTTTATACTGTGCTTTCTTCCCCACTGTCTCCTTCAACATTCGCCACCACCCAGTGATGGAGGTAGGGCAGGAGTGATATGAAAATGAGCAGGGCTCTACGGAGAACCTAACAATAGCTGAGCGCAAGGCCAGACACTGGCAGGGGACATCTGTGTGGGATGTAATCATCTGAGATTCTCCGTGCCTGACATAGAAATGTTTGGCGAATCAGTTGTGTTTCTGAGAGCTCAGGAAACTTGCCCAAGGATATGCAATTTAAATAAATGGCCTGACCTCGAATTGCTCCCAGCTCAGTCCTCTGGCATGCCCTGGCAGATGGAAAAAAAATCCTGCCTCTACAGGCAATGGCCTGTTTCTGTAGGCTCTGCCATCTGAAACCTTCCCTCCCCTCCACTGTGTTGCTTTTACTATCCCATCTGAGACATTTCTTTTTCATATTTAGAACCTGAAAAAGGCTGGGTGCTGTGGCTCATGCCTGGAATCCCAGCACTGTGGAAGGCCAAGGCAAGTGGACTACCTGAGGTCAGGAGTTCGAGACCAGTCTGACCAACATGACAAAACCTCATCTCTACTAAAAATACTAAATTAGTTGGGCATGATGGTGCGTGCCTGTAATACCAGCTACTGGCAGGAGAATCGCTTGAACCTGGGAGGTGGAGGTTGCAGTGAGCTGAGATCATGAATTGCACTCCAGCCTGGGCTCTTGTTAGAGCAAAACTGTGTCAAAAAAAAAAAAAAAACAACAGAAAAAAATTGTCTTTCATGAAGAGTGAGTCTCTTCCATCACATAACAAGAAAACAATGGGCTGGGTGTGGTGGCTTATGCCTCTAATCCCTTGGGAGGTGGGAGGATTGCTTGAGCTCAGGAGTCTATGATCAGCCTGGGCAACAGAGCTGATCATTTCTAAAACAGAAAAGAAAACCATCTCTTTGTGTTTCCCCTTTCCCTCTGGCTGCCAGGAGGCTGAGAGACAACAGCATTACAGTAGGAGTCAGAGTTAAAACATTTCCTCCTTACTTCCATGTTATGTGACTCCTTCAACTGAAACATTCTTGAATCTTTTAGGTGAAGAACAGGTGTAAATAAACATTTATATAATGAGCCCAGGGGAGACGTCTGGGACAGGATCCAGGTTGGAGAGCAGAGGGCTTAGAAGAATCTTTCACCCTCCCCGAGACTCAGACTCTGTCGGCAGCCTAGGGTGAGAAATCTTGTTGCAGCCCTTGAATGGAGGTGGCCCTCCTGAGAAGAGGACTGGCCACCTCAAGGCCAGGGAGGGGTCACAGTCAACACCCTCCCTCCCTAGGCTGTGAAGCTCATTTACACTTCAGACTCTGTGTGGCTAGAATTTTTATTTTTAAGGAGGAGTCAGAAAAGTAGTGTCTAGCATGAAATCTCCTGACTGGTGAATGTTGGCAACTAATTTGCATTTTTTCAAAACACTATGTAGGACAAATCAAACTTGGCTGTAGGCCAGATTGCACAGAGGCCCTCCCTTGCTCAGCCAGTGGAGCCTAATCTACCTCCAAAACACTCCGTTGAGGTCAGGCTGGGGGTGGGGGAGTTTACATCATTTCTCCTGAAACCTGCCTTTTCTTCTCCCTACGTCCCAAGGGATCTGCCTTGTTCTGAGATGACCCATGCTGGACCACTCACAGGACACTGCCTCAGCCTTGGACAACTGGCCTAATATGGACACTTGACCTAAAATGAGACAAGGAATCCCACTCCTGAGACATCTGCACTGGGGACAGAGCGAGGGACTGGTAATTCCCATGGCTGGTGCTGTGAGATACAGAACTTGCCAGCAGTTGGCTGCTGTGTGTTCCATGCTGAGGGCGTGATAGCGGTGACTAACAAGAGAAAGAATCCTGCAGGGTCAGCATGCCTGGCTCTAGTTGTCCTAAGTCCACCACTACTTTCCTGTCCTAAAGGGCCAGAACACCCCAGTGTCCTCATGGTATCTGGCCTAGTTGTCCAAGCTAAGTGAGTCAGGTTTCTGGTCCTTGCAATGATCACTCCTAACTAGATCTGTTTGGGCCCTTTTCAGTCCTGCCTCTGACCATGGCTGGGAAAGTTTTCTGATGAACGGGAGCTGTACAGAGCTTCTACTCCCAGCCTCACACCCCTAACTCTCTGAGAAACTAAGGCAGTTTGGCCGGGCATGGTGGCTCATGCCTGTAATCCCAGCAATTTGAGAGGCCAAGACAGACAGATCGGTTGAGGTTAGGAGTTTGAGACCAGCCTGGCCATCATGTTGAAACCCCATCTCCATTAAAATTTTAAAAATTAGCTGGGTGTGGTGGCAGGTGCCTGTAATCTCAGCTACTTGGGAGGCTGAGGCAGGAGAATCACTTGAACCTGGGAGGCAGAGGTTGCAGTGAGCCGAACTCATCCCATTGCATTCCAGCTGAAAAGAATTGGACTCTTTTCATTTTCATGTTGGTCAGGCTGGTCTTAAACTCCTGACCTCAAGTGATCCACCCACCTTGGTCTCCCAAAGTGCTGGGAATACAGGCGTTAGCCACCATGCCCAGCCCAGTTAACATTTTTGATTGTCCTAACAGGAGAGGGGGCAAGTGCAACTGGCATCTACTGGGTAGAGATCAGGGGTGATAAATATCCTCCAATGGGCAGCACAGCCCTCTACAAACAAGAGTGATTTGGTCCAAAATGTCAGTACTGCTGCTCTTAGGAAGCCCCAGCCTACCTTCCCTGAGATTTGGTGTTCCCATCCCTAACGCGGACTATGGAGCTGTCATATTTTTCGTGAGAACCCAGTGAGTTGACAGACATGATCCTCCTTTCAGGAAAAGACACAATCCTGCAGAGATCATCATGGAGGGTTTATTATTGGGAATAAGTTAACATGGAAGCCCCAGCGAAGCGGGGTGGGGTGAGGTGAGACAGGTTGCCAATCTGTGTCCAAAATGGGACGACACAGGCTCCACACAGGAGGAGGGCTCCAGGGTGAGCATGGCATCTGGCAGGGCCTGGCTCAAGGGACCTGGGCTTGGCCCCAGAAGTATGGCACAGGACGGAGAGGGAGGGCAGGGGTTCCTGCCAGCTACCTCAGTCTTGGGGAGGGGGAAGGGCTAGGGAAGTCCAGCAGAGGGAGGGAGTTAGGACCCATATGGATAGTCCTCACACAGCCCATGGAGCTCACCCTGTTTCTATCACCTCCTACCCTGCCTGGAGCCCCCATGCTCTCACATATATGCATCTCACCTCCCCACGCTTGCCCACTCCCCCCAGACTTTTTTTCTCTCTCTTTCCTCCCCAACCCTCTCTTCCCCCACGGTCTTACCCCTCTGCATGCCCCCACCACACAGCCTCACCAGTTCCAAGCCTGAGCCCTGTGGAGTGTGGCTGGGCTGGCCCAAGCTGGCATCCCTTCAAGCGAGGTTCTTAGGTTCTCTCCCTGGGTTAGCTTCCATGCCTCCTGCCTAAAGCTGCAGCGCTGGTGCCAGTGAGCGGAGGCAGGGGAGCTAAGTGGGGAAACTAGGTACTCCATGAAGAAATGAGGGCTTGGGAGGCTCAGGACAGGCAACTATTGCCATGCCTGACTCTAGTAGGGGGCAGAGTGCTGCGCAGCATAAAGGCACTGGGGTCCAGCAAAGGATGCCCCTGAGCTGGGGAGAGTGGGCTCTAGTGACACGGAGAGCAAACCCTGGGCCGGCGGCAGCAACTCGTCCAGGTACCCGGGTGCCCCAACACCACTGCCTGCGTCCTCCCAGAGCACCTGGGGCCCCTGCTGGGAAGTCCCAGGCTGCAGAGGGATGGCACAGAGGGCCAAGAGGCCGGCCTCCCTCTGCCTTGGGGGTCTCCGGGCTGGGCGGGCTGGGGGAAGGCACCCGGTGCTGCCCGCCGGTCCCCTTCGCGAGTCGGCTCAGACCTCGGGGCCGCCGAAGGCCAGGTTGTCGCGCACCATCAGCGTCTTGCGGAGGTCGCGGTCCACCAGGGGGCGCTGCATGCGCCACTTGTGCGCCTCCTGCAGACCCGGCTCGAAGTAGTAAATGCAGGCGCCGAAGCCCACCAGAATGAGGACGGAGATGACCAAGTAGACCGGCACGAACCAGTCCAGGAAGTGCGGCATTGCGGCGGCCTTGGCTGCGGAGACACAGGGTGGGTGAGGGCCAGCAGAGGTGCCCCTTGTCCCGCCCACCCAGAGGGAGACCTGCAGGCTTCACAGAACCAGAGGCCCAAGCATCACTTTTACAGATGGGGAGACTGACGTCCAGAACAGCAAGGGCGGGTGAATGGCTGATCAAGACCACATGGTGACTCCTGGTCAAGCACAGAGAGTCTCCACGCCATGGGGACACCCAGCTCCTATTCACCCTTTAAGAAGGAGACTTAGGCCAGGCATGGTGGCTCATGCCTGTAATCCCGGCACTTTGGGAGGCCAAGGCAGACGGATCACTTGAGGTGAGGAGTTTGAGACCAGCCTGACCAACATGACAAAACCTCATCTCTACTAAAATTACAAAAATTAGCCGGGCATGGTGGCATTCGCCTGTAATCCCAGCTACTTGGGAGGCTGAGGCAGAAGAATCTCTTCAGCCTGCAAGATGGAGGTTGCAGTGAGCCGAGATAGCACCACTGCACTCCAGCCTGAGTGACAGAGTGAGACTGTTTCAAAAGAGGAAAAAAAAATTATAATCTCCTCCAGGGATAGGATGACGCAGGCCCATTGAACCCACCCCCAACATTCCCTAGTTATAAGAAAGGGGGGGGGGGTGAGGAGCCTGCCTGCCCAGCAGGGAGAGCACTATCTGAGTACTTCCACAAACCTCACAACAGACCTATGGGGCAAGTGTCACTATGCACATTTTACAGATGAAGAAACTGAGGCCCAGACAGGCTCACTAACTTGCCTTGGGTTACTCAACTGGAAAGCGGCAGAGCTAGACTCCAAACCCCAGCGATGTCCTGAGGCTTTCACCCTCCAGGACAGGGAAAGGCACATGAGCAGGATGAAATGAGAAGACGCCCACTTTGCTTCTGGGAATTGAAGCAGGGGGATAAATGGAAAGAACTCCAGGCAGGTTGGAGAGATGCCCTAGCTCCTCTGACTTCTGTCTCCAAACTCCTGCTCCTCTTGTCTCTCTACTCCCTGGTGGGACTCTAGTCCCAGGTGGGACTGTGAGGGGAGCTATGGCCCCAGGGGAGGGAGGGATGCTGCTTTCTGACCTACATCCATTCAGAGCCCCTCTCCTACCCTCGAAGTCCTCACTGGCTATTCTGAGGCACTGACAATGTCTCAAAGTGCCCTATTTGTGGAGGAGTAAAATGAAGAGTGCACTGATTGTCCAAAGTGACTAGCGTAGCCAAGGCAGGGGAGCTTATAGGACCCAGCACCTCTTAACCAGCTGCCTTTCTGGGGAGGCGGAGAGAGTACAGGATTGCCTGGTGCTGCCAGGGCTGGCAAAGGTAGGGAAGGAGCTCCCAGGCAGGGAAGCTGCTCCAGACTGACCTGTGTCCAAGGTGACTCATGCCCCCTGCCCAGGCCCAGCCAGGCCCCCAAACATGCGAATGGGGGACTGGGGCAGAACAGAAGCCATTTCAGCTGCAATGCTAGGGGCTGTGGAATAGAGACCAGGGGCCCCCAACCTCTCCAGCCCTGTGCACAAAATCCCAGGCATTCTGAGGCTGACTGAGGATCCCTCAGTTTCTTCCTGATTTCTCAGGGAACTGGCCTAGGTGGAAAATCAACACACTCACTGGCCTCCTGTGTGACCTTGGCCCCTTCTTCACCCTCTCTGGGCCTCAGGGTTCCCTGTGCACAGTGACAGGGTGGAGAGAAGGTTGCCAGATGATCTACATGGAATTTTACAGCCTCATTTCAGCCAAAGTCCTGAGACAGTATGAGTTTGCAGAGCCCCTCTCCCAGCCTCCCAAGCCATTGGCACCATTTGGTGCCCTCTGTGTGCCCAAAGACCCACCTCACGCCCTGCAGATGCCAGTTCCGGGGTCTCTGTGCTGAGCACACCGCCTCAGCCTGAGCAGCTCAGCGTTGGCCCGTGGACTCATTCGCAGCTGCTGTCCCCAAAGACACTGCCATCTGCGGCCGCCCTGGATGCTGGAGGCAGAGATAGGGCAAGGCCAATGCTCCCCACGGGAGATGGAGCTTCTCACACCCAGGAACTCTGAGTGGGCCAGGAGGGGGCAGTCCTGGACCAGCTCAGAATCCTGGGACCTCTCCCTGCCCATCAGAGACCCTCCCCACTAATCCCCACTCTCAGGATGGCAGGAGGTGGGACCTGTCTCAGCCAATCAGCAGCCTGGCAGAGCAAGGGCTTTATCCTCTGTTGTCCTGGCAACCAGCCTTCTCTTCTGGATCCCTGGTACTGTGCACGTGGTACAGCAGATGACAGGGCGGCAGGACGGGGGGAATGCGGGGAGGACAAGTCACCCAGCAGGCTGCTGCATCCCAAGCCTAGTGGGCCTAGAGAGGAGAGGATCGTGGCTGATACTCTAAGGGATTGAGCACTTGGGAGCAGGGAGAGACTGGGTCCTTAGCAAGTGGGTAGGGACACAGAATCAGTGACTAGCAGAGCAGAGCCAAGGGGATTATATGTTATAGAAAAAAGAACCAAGACCAAGACTGAGCACACATTGGCTCAAACATTTACTATGTACCAGATACTGTTTTCAATGCTTTGATTATATTAACTCATTTGATTCTCACTCACTGATACACAGCAAGAAGGTAGCAATGCCAGGGTCAGAGCCCTAGCCTGGCTTCATGACCTCGCAAGTAGCTGCCCCTCCCCATTCTGCCTCATCTCCCCCCACAGCACCCCCAGCTGGTGTAGAGCCAGCATAGGCACTGCGCACTCCCATCTGCCAGGCTAGCCCCACATATCACTTCCTGCAGTACTCCCAGCTCAATTGGTGTTGAGACCCCATTTTGGGATGAGGCAGAAAGGTGAAGCTGCTGGCCTTTCCCTTCTCCCAGAACCCTCAGCTTCTCAGTGACTAAGCTGGAATTCAAAGCCAAGGGCTGACCTTGGGGGTGGGGTCCACCTCCCCAAGCATGGATCCCCCCCACCTGCCTGTGCCATAGACAAGGTGCCTGCAATGTATGGAGAGCTATTGTCTCAGGAGGAGAGCGCAGCCCAGGGGCCCATGGGGTAGGGCGGGGAAGAGGCTTCCAGGAACCACCTCCCTCCAGAATCTGTTCCCAGAAACCTGGGGATGGGGAGTGGGGAAAGGCTCTGGGTGAGGTGGCTTCAGGACCTAGGTCCCCCACCACAGACACCTCTGGGGAACATCTAGGGGCTCTTCAAGTATGACAGGTCCTTTCCAGCATATGTGGGGTAAGGGGGGTGATTGTGAGTTCAAAGAGGGTTTGTTTTGTTTTGTTTTTTGAGACAAGGTCTTGCTCTTTCACTCAGGCTGGAGCACAGTGGTGTGATCATGGCTCATTGCAGCCTCTGCCTCTTGGGCTCGGGTGATACTCCCACCTCAGCCTCCCGAGTAGCTGGGACCACAAATGCATGCCACTATGCCCAGCTGATTTTTGTACTTTTTGTAGAGACAAGATTTTGCCAGGTTGCCCAAGCTGGTCTTGAACTCCTGGCCTCAAGCTAGCCTCCTGCCTCAGCCTCCCAAAGTACTGGGATTACAGATGTGAGCCACCACCTGGCCAAAGTGTTTTTTTAACATTTTGGGGTGGAAGAGCAGAGGAGTTGGGGAAAGAATTACAAAGGGGTTGGCCGGGCACCATGGCTCACACCTGTAATCCCAGCTTTTTTTTTTTCTTTGAGACTGAGTTTCGCTCATGTGCAATGGCGCAATCTGAGCTCACCACAACTTCCACCCCCTGGGTTCAAGCGATTCTCCTGCCTCAGCCTCCTGATCCCAGCATTTTGGGAGGCTGAAGTGGGTGGATCATGAGGTCAAGAGATCAAGACCATCCTGGCCAACATGGTGAAACCCCACCTCTACTAAAAATACAAAAATTAGCTGGGTGTGGTGGTTTGGTGCCTGTAATCCCAGCTACTTGGGAGGCTGAGGCAGGAGAATCACTTGAACCCCGGAGGTAGAGATTGCAGTGAGCCGAGATCGCACTACTGCACTCCAGCCTGGGCGACAGAGCAAGACTCCATCTCAAAAAAAAAAAAAAAAAAAAGGCAGTAGTGGCCGGAGCGGTGGCTCACGCCTGTAATCCCAGCACTTTGGGAGGCCAAGGCAGGTGGGTCACGAGGTCAAGAGATAGAGACCATCCTGGTCAACATGGTGAAACCCCGTCTCTACTAAAAATACAAAAATTAGCTGGGCAAGGGGGTGTGCGCCTGTAGTCCCAGCTACACGGGAGGCTGAGGCAGGAGAATTGCTTGAACCCAGGAGGCGGAGGTTGCGGTGAGCCGAGATTGTGCCATTGCACTCCAGTCTGGGTAACAAAGCGAAACTCCGTCTCAGAAAAAAAAACAAACAACAACAAAAAAAAAAAACAAAAGGCAGGAGTTAAGTTTTTGGGATACGTTCAGTGTCTTAATGGTGACGGTGGCTTTTTAGGTATATACATATGTCAAACTTATCAAATTGTACCCTTGAAATATGTGTAGTTGATTACATATGCCCCTTATACCTCAATCTGTGAAAAACGTGATCCAGCCTGTGGGTATTGTTTTAGCCACTGATTCCTTATTCAGACAAAAGCTTATGGGAAGCTCAATACATAATAGAGATAAAGCTGAGGTTGCTTCCGTTCAATGGTGGGATAGGGGCGGGGGTTCTGGACCCCACCCACTCAGAATCCCCCTGTCTCTCACAGCGCCCCAAGTCATCTCCCTAGGGCTCCACAGGAGCCAATTTTAAAAACACTGGCCCAGAGGACCCTGATGACCCTGCCAGCTTGGGTGTTTAGAATATAAGAAACTTCAGGCCTCAATCTGGTCTCCTGCCTATCCCTACCCTTCATCACATATGGATCCCATACACAGCTACTTTCTGTCTCACTGCTCATGTCTCAGCCAATGATCAGACCCCGGTGAAGTGGAGTACGGGCTCCCCAGGGACATAGCTCACCTTCCCCAGGGCTCCTGCTGCTCCTGATGGCCACCCTAACTGCACTGCCTTGTTTGTTGCTACCACTGGTAACTCCCTGGGTAGAATGGCGCCTCTGGGACCAGGTCTCCAGGGCAGGCACTCAGCACATGCTGCCCGAATGGGTCTCAGCCCAGTGCCCCCTGGAAAGTCCGCACCAGAGTCCAAAGTCTTTTCCCAGCCCACCCTTCTCTAAGGGCCTCAGTCTCCAGGAGCTGACTCACCTCCATGGCCTCACCTCCTCCCCTGCTCTCCTCACTTCCTCTGCCACCACCACCAGCCTCCTTGCTACACCTCGGAAGTGCCAGGAGTACTTCCCATTCAGAGCTTTGCATGTGTACTGCCTTCTTCCTAAGGCCTTTCTTCATCATACCTAACGGGCTCTTCTCTCACTGAATTCAAGCATCTGCTCAAATGTCACCTTAGGGAGGCCTCCCTGACCTAAAGTAGCCTCCTTCCACCCATCACTTCCCCTGTCAGCTTTAGATTATTATTATTATTATTATTTGAGATGAGGTCTTGCTCTGTTGCCCAGGCTGGAGTGCAGTGGCATGATCTCGGCTCACTACAACACAGGTTTAAGTGATTCTCCTGCCTCAGCCTCCCGAGTAGCTGGGATTACAGGTGCCCACCACCATGCCCAGCTAATTTGTTTGTTTGTTTTTTGGTTTTGAGACAGAGTTTCATTCTTGTTGCCAAGGCTGGGGTGCAGTGACACAATCTCAGCACACTGCAACCTCCACCTCCCAGGTTCAAGTGATTCTCCTGCCTCAGCCTCCTGAGTAGCTGGGATTACAAGCATATGCCACCACATCTGGCTAATTTTGTATTTTTAGTAGCGACGGGGTTTCAACACGTTGGTCAGGCTGGTCTCAAACTCCTGACCTCGGGTGATCCACCCTCCTTGGCCTCCGAAAGTGCTAGGATTACAGGCGTGAGCCACTGTGCCCAGCATTTTTTTTTTTTTGAGACAGGGCCCCACTCTGTCATCCAGGCGGGAGTGCAGTGGCATGGTCTAGGCTCACTGCAACTTTTACCTCTAGGGTTCAAGTGATTCTCCCACCTCAGCCTTCTGAGTAGCTGGGACCAAAGGTGCACACCACCATGCTCAGCTAATTAAAAAAATTTTTTTGTAGAGACAAGGTCTCACTATATTGCCTAGGCTGGAAACTCCTGGCCTCAGGTGATCCACCTGCCTCAGCCTCCCAAGTGCTGAGTTACAGGCATGAGCCATGGTATCCAGCTTGCTTTACTTTCTTGTCATAGTGACTACGACTAGTTAACTTTTAGGGCCAGGCGCAGTGGCTCACACCTGTAATCCCAGCACTTTGGGAGGCCCAGGTGGGCGGATCACCTGAGGTCGCGAGTTCGAGACCAGGCTGACCAACATGGAGAAACCTCATCTCTACTAAGAATACAAAGTTAGCTGCGCGTGGTGGTGCATACCTGTAATCCCAGCTACTCTGGAGGCTGGGGCAGGAGAAATCACTTAAACCTGGGAGGCGGAGGTTATGGGGAGCTGAGATCACGCCATTGCACTCCAATCTGGGCAGCAAGAGTGAAACTCTGTCTCGAAAAAATATAACAAAGGCCAGGCGTGGTGGCTCAAGCCTATAATCCCAGTACTTTGGGAGGCCGAGGCAGGTGGATCACGAGGTCAAGAGATCGAGACCATCCTGGTCAACAAGGTGAAACCCTGTCTCTACTAAAAATACAAAAATTAGCTGGGCATAGTGGCGTGTGCCTGTAATCCCAGCTACTCAGGAGGCTGAGGCAGTAGAATTGCTTGAACCCAGAAGGCGGAGGTTGTGGTGAGCCGAGATCATGCCATTGCACTCCAGCCTGGGTAACAAGAGCGAAACTCCGTCTCAAAAAAAAAAAAAAGAAAAAAGAAAAAATATAACAAAACAAACAAAAACCAAAAACCAAAAAAGACTTTCAGGAAGTCCTCTCCACACCCCATGCCATGAGGAATCAAAGCCCCATCTGTGCTGAGGGCGGGGGCTCTATGGGGCCATTTACTTCCTGATCTTTCTGAGCAAGACATAATTAGTTTAGTCTGCAATAAGGACTTAGGCTAGACGGTGTCTCTCCTCTCCCCAATATTACAACAACGAGCACACTGTCATCATTGTCTAGCCTGCCCCCATCACACTAAGTTGATCAATAATGTCTGATTCATCTGTCTTTCCCAGGGTGGGGCATTGGGTCTGGCATAGGAAATGATAAATGAATGACTACTGAGAATGAATGGATGAATGAAATTAATAAATCATCAATTTATTAATTACCTACCATGTACCAGGTACTTTTTAGAGTGCTGGACATACAAAGTGACTGTAAGGGCTTTTTTTTTTTTTTAACCAAGTAAGATTTTTCTATTCTATGAGACCTAAACAATTTTTGTCAATTAATGGGCAAATGGTCTGAGGTGCCTGACATCCGGGTATCATATATGATGCCAGACTGGTTTACATAAAAAGAACATTCTTAGGGCCGGGCGTGGTGGCTCATGCCTGTAATCCCAGCACTTTGGGAGGCCCAGGCACAAGGTCAAGAGATCGAGACCATCCTGGTCAACATGGTGAAACCCCGTCTCTACTAAAGATACAAAAAATTAGCTGGGCATGGTGGCGCATGCCTGTAATCCCAGCTACTCAGGAGGCTGAGGCAGGAGAATTGCCTGAACCCAGGAGGTGGAGGTTGTGGTGAGCCGAGATCACGACATTGCCCTCCAGCCTGGGTAACAAGAGCAAAACTCCGTCTCAAAAAAAAAAAAGAACATTCTTCATTTAGGAATAGGCAAACACCTCCGTAAGGTCTATTAGGCTGACTGATGGCCCCATGGACGCCATGTTAACTTCTATTACCTACACAGACACTCCAGATGAGTTCCTGGAAAATCTGAAGTAGGTAGAAGACCAGGCTGAGATATCCCTAAGGTGTGGGACACCACCTCCCCATCCATTGCTACAAGTCACTCACCCTCATCACCCACTTAAAACATAACCACCCGTAGCCCGCCCAGCGCCAGCACCCCATCCCACAACAGGTTTTAAAAGGCCTAAAGCCTGTTATCACCTGTCTATTGCGACATGGCCTTTAATCCCTACAAACTCTCCTTATAAGTCCCCTGTCCTAGCTGTCCAAAAACCAGACAAATTCTACAGACTAGTCCAAGACCTCCGCCTCATTAATCAGACTGTACTTCCCATCCACCTGGTTGTACCAACCCCTATACCCTCCTATCTTCCATTCCCCCTTCCAGAGAAATCATTAGAGAGGCTATGGAAGGTGACAGAGTGGTAAGGCCTGCTATGCCCGTGCTGAGTGCAATAGTAATTTATTAATTACCTACCATGTGCCAGGTACTTTTTAGAGTGCTGGACATACAAAGTGACTGTAAGGGCTTTTTTTTTTTTTTTTAACCAAGTAAGATTTTTCTATTCTATGAGACCTAAACAATTTTTGTCAATTAATGGGCAAATGGTCTGAGGTGCCTGACATCCGGACATCCGGGTATCATATATGATGCCAGACTGGTTTACATAAAAAGAACATTCTTAGGGCCGGGCGTGGTGGCTCATGCCTGAAAACATCGCCCCATCACCCCTCTGTGCCGGCCTTCCTGATATTCCACTGCCCTCGACTCTTCTTTTCCTTTTATATTACTAATATAAAAAGACAGGAATGTAAGGTCTTTTAGGCTGACTGATGGCACCATTGCCATCATGTCAATCTCTGTGACTGCACAGATTTTGAGTTCCTGGAAAATCTGAAGTAACTGGAAGACCATGAAAAGAGGAAGAAATAATCAACTCCTGGAGCACCTACTTAACTTTGAGACATTCTCTATTGTTCCTTATTCCCACCTCAATTGTTAACGTCATTGGACTTTGGTCAACCTTGTGACTCCACACCCTGTGACCCCATGCCAGTTTGCAAAAAACCACCCTAAACTGTAAGTTCTGTAACTTTTCACTGCAAACCCCAAACCTATAAAACCAACTCGTATCCCACCGCCCTCTGCTGACTCTCTTTTTGGACTCAGCCCACCCACACCCAGGTGGATAAACAGTCATGTTGATTACACAAAGCCTGTTTGGGGGGGGTGTCTTCATTCAGAGCACATGTTTTAACAGTGACAAAGTCTCTAACCTCTTGTTTCTTACATTCTATATGGAGAGACAAGAAACAGGTAATTATATAGCTGTTGGGAGAACCAATTCACTATGGGCCCTGAGTGCCCCTGCACATTCTTGCTGGGTATGCCAAGAAAGCAAGACCCTGTACTCAGGCTGGGTTTGCAGCAAGGAACCTTGAAAGACAAGGCAAAGTCTCCGACTAGACAAAGAACAGCATGTTTACCACTCACTATTAAAGCAGTCAACTGGCAGGGCCTGCTGGTGTGCACCGGGAGTCCCAGCTACTCAGGAGGCTGAGGCAGGAATTACTTGAGCCCAGGAGTTCGAAGCTGTAGTGAGCTATGATAGTGTCACTATACTCCAGCCTGGGCAACACAGTGACACTCCTAAAAAAGAAAAAAAGAGGCCGGGCGCGGTGGCTCAAGACTGTAATCCCAGCACTTTGGGAGGCTGAGGCGGGCCTCTTGATCACGAGGTCAAGAGATCGAGACCATCCTGGTCAACATGGTGAAACCCCGTCTCTACTAAAAATACAAAAAATTAGCTGGGCATGGTGGCTTGTGCCTGTAATCCCAGCTACTCAGGAGGCTGAGGCAGGAGAATTGCCTGAACTCAGGAGGTGGAGGTTGCGGTGAGCCGAGATTGCGCCATTGCATTCCAGCCTGGGTAACGAAAGCTAAACTCCGTCTCAAAAAAAAAAAAAAAAAAAGGCCAGGCACGGTGGCTCACGCCTGTACTCCCAGCACTTTGGGAGGCCGAGGCGGGCAGATTACTTGAGGCCAGGAGTTTGAGACCAGCTTGGACAACTTAGAGAAACCCCGTCTCTATGAAAAATACAAAAATTAGCCAGGCGTGGTGGCGCGCGCCTGTAATCCCAGCTCCTCGGGAGGCTGAGACAGAAGAATAGCTTGAACCCGGGAGGCAAAGGCTGCAGTGAGCCCAGATGGCGCCATTGCACTGCAGCCTGGGGAACAGAGGGAGACTCCTTCTCAAAAAAAAAGTACTGTGAGCATGAACGAACGAAAGTGAACAAAGAAATCACTAAAAACCTGCTTACTGTGGAGCGTGGAACAAAAGACCTGTCCACCAGGTGTTCCACGGGTGACGCTGGAACGCTACTCAGAAAAGGAGACAGCTGTTCGGTTCCTTTAAGAGGAGGCCCCGCCCACCCCGCGAATCCCCGCCGGTAAGGAGGCACGTGCCCCCAGGCCGCGCTCTAGGGGCGGGACTCAGAGCGGTTTGAAAGGTCGGCGCGCACTGCAAGAGCGGCGGTCGGCCTTGCTGCTGAGATGTCGGTGTTGAGGCCACTGGATAAGCTGCCCAGCCTGAACACGGCCACCATTTTGGTAAGTGCCGGCGGCCCCGCTTCCCCTGCTGGCCCTTCCTCCTTGGCGGAGCTTCAGCCCGCACCTCGACTGAGCTCCCTGAAGCGCCAAGCCAGCGCGAGCCACTGTGGTGGGGGCGGGGAATAGGCGGAGAGCCATGATCTGAACCAATGGGAGTAGCCACTCTCTGAGGTTGAGAGACGCATCCACCAATAGGTGCGCAGCGGACCCTTTTCCAGCCTCTGATTGGCGGGTTTCCACGCCTGGAGTTGCTCGTTCCGCATCTAGGTGCCTGGACTCCTGGTGAGGCCAGCGGTCGGAGGGAGAGCTAGGGGGAGTAAAGTGTGGTGCCCACAGGCCTGCAGCGGGTCCATACCTCAGCCACCAGCCCGTGCCGCCTCGCGGGGTCCGCTTCTCGGGAAATGCCCTCCGAGCCGCCTGCGCGCGGCTGCCCGATCCCCCCGGGAGTGGGTAGAAAGGCCAGGCCCTCCCCAGGGGATACTGTGTCCAGGGCTCTACCTGTCGCTCTGTCTCCCTGCGCAGCTGGTGGGCATAGAGGATGCTCTTCTGCAGCAGCTGGCTGACTCGATGCTCAAGGAGGACTGCGCCTCCGAGCTGAAGGTGTAAGTAGGCTGTGGCCTGATCCCACGTGTCTCACCCTAGAGGGATTCAGTCCTGGCTTCTAAACCCCGAGGCCCAGCGACCTCTCCTCTGACCCTGGGCCTTCTCCCAGCATGCAGCATAGCTGGCAAGTTCCAACCTCCCCTTGCCGAGGTGGTGACTAAACAGATCCCCTTTCTGGCAGAGGACATCAGACAGGAGTGATCTGAATAGGACCGGCCCGGTCCTGCCTCTGTGCTGGCCCAAGGAGTCATGGCCACAAGAACCTTGGGTGGCTAGGGTGAGGTCGGGAGCCCTTGACAGACCCTACCCCGGCAGCATTTAAACAGTCGCTGTGAGGTGGGTATGGATATTTTGAGTCCTGCAATTTCCTGTTTTACAGCCACTTGGCAAAGTCCCTCCCTTTGCCCTCCAGTGTGAATCGGCCCCGAATTGACCTGATCGTGTTTGTGATTAATCTTCACAGCAAATACAGGTGAGAGCCGGAGGAAGGGGCAGTCAGGACTCAGGCCTGGCTCTGGAGTGTGCTGGGACAGTGACCTAACTTATGATGGGAAGTGGGGAGGATGAGAGAGGTCAGGAGTTCAAGGCCAGCCTGGCCAATATGGTGAAACCTTGTCCCTGTTAAAAATACAAAACTTAGTTGGGTGTGGTGGCGCATGCCTGTAATCCCAGCCAGCTACTGGGGAGGCTGAGGCACAAGAATCGCTTGAACCCAGGAGGCGGAGGTTGCAGTGAGCTGAGATTGCAGCACTGTACTTCAGCCTGGTGACAGATCGAGACTTCATCTAAAAAAAAAAAAAAAAAACAGGGCATGGTGCATGCGCCTGTAATCCCAGCTACTCGGGAGGCTGAGGCAAGAGCATCACTTGAACCTGAGAGGCAGAGATTGCAGGGAGCCAAGATTGCGCTAATGCATTCCGGCCTGGGTGACAGGGAAACTCCATCTCAAAAAAAGAAATTAATATAAAAATTAGCTGGGTGTGGTGGTACATGCTTGTAATTCCAGCTAGTCCGGAGGCTGAGGCAGGAGAATCACTTGAACCTGGAAGGCGGAGGTTGTGGTGAGCTGAGATTGTGCCATTGCATTCCAGCCTGGGCAACAAGACTGAAACTGCATCTCAAAAAGTTAATTAGTTAATTAAAGGACAAAGTATTCCTCCAGAGAATGTCACCCTTTTGTCATTCTCTGGCCTCTAGGATCCGAGAAGTAAGGGCTTCTGCTTTCTCTGAGAAGTAAGGGCGTTTTGTTCTCTGGTTTGTTCTCTTACCCTGGCCTGGCCACCACAGCCTCCAGAACACAGAGGAGTCCCTGCGCCATGTGGATGCCAGCTTCTTCTTGGGGAAGGTGTGTTTTCTCGCCACAGGCGGTAAGTATGTCCCTCACCTGCTACTGCCCACCTCCAGCCGAGGGAAAGCTGGGGCGGTAGACTCCTTGCCAAGGCAGCCTGGGTGATGGCAAGAACATGTATTTTACACACTGGGGCCTCTCAGAGGGTAGAGGGTGGGAGGAGGAAGAAGATCAGGAAAAATAACTAATGGGTACTAGGCTTCATACCTGGGTGACAATAATCTGTGCAACAAACCCCATGACAGAAGTTTACCTATAAAACAAATCTGCATATGTGTCCCTGAACTTAAAAGTTAAATTTAAAAAACAAAAGAGCACATACTTTGGAATCTGTCTAAGAGTGAATCTGAGCAGATCATTGTTCTGTTGCTTGGAGTTGCCTGGTGATTGCCTGTGGCTTTCAGTAAAATCCAAACTCCTCTAAAAACACAAAATACTTTGCAGTTGGGCCTCTGCTTTCTGGGCTGGTCTCCTGTTACTCTGTTTCTTTGGGTCAGCTTATCATTCTCAGAAAATGTCCTGCTGTTCCTGAGATTTTGTAATATTAACATTGAAAATAATGGCGAGCCTCTTTTGAGTTCTCACTGTGAGGCAGACACTGTAATTGCTTTGTTTTTATATCTATTAATGTTTGAGGTAGGTATTACTACCTCGGTTTTATAGTCCTGAGGTTAATTTGCCCAAGGCCCCTAGATAAAAAGTGGTAGAGCTGAGGTTCACACCTGGGGAGGTTCTGTTTCAGGGCCTCTTTTTTTTTTTTTGAGACAGAGTCTCACTCAGCCATCCAGGCTGGAATACAATGGCGTGATCTCCACTCACTGCAACCACTGTCTCCCAGGTTCCAGCAATTCTCCCATCTCAGCCTCCCGAGTAGCTGGGATTACAGGCACCCACCATTGTGACCGGCTAATTTTTGTATTTTAGTAGAGACAGGGTTTCACCATGTTGACTAGGCTGGTCTTGAGCTCCTGACCTCAGGGGATCCACCAGCCTCAGCCTGCCAAAGTGCTGGGATTACAGGTGTGAACCGCTGCACCTGTACTCTTCACAGTTATTCTAGGCTTCTCTCAAATACATTTCCTTTTGTTTGTCTTGTAACCCCTACATATACCTGAAAACTCAGCCCCGGGGTCACTCTAGCATGCATGAGATGTCTCACCTGTCAGCCTTCCCTGCTGAACAGTTAGCTCCTTGAGCAGAGCACCTGGCACAGATAATTCTCAAGCAGCATTGGTGAGCAAATGAAGGCCAGATAATTTCTAGATGTTAGCTCACTGACTCCGGAGTGACTCGGTGGGGTAGGAGCTATTATTATCTTCATTGTCTAACTTGATATGCTTAACTGCCTAGAAAAGAAAGTAGAATAGGACTGTCACCCTCGCAACTAGAAAGAAACTGAGCCCCAGAGTGGGGAAGTGAGTTACTCTGCCCAGCACTTCCTGAATTCCATCCAGGAAGGTAGAGATTGCAGCTGTAGTGCTTATGGCTTCTTTGCAGCTGGGCGGGAGAGCCACTGCAGCATTCACCGGCACACCGTGGTGAAACTGGCCCACACCTACCAAAGCCCCCTGCTCTACTGTGACCTGGAGGTGAGCATGCTAATCACAGGGACCAACACTGCACTCGGGTACGGGAAACGGGGTGGTCAGCACACAGTGGGCACATCGGGAATGCTTACCGAAGCACTGAGTATCCGAGCAAGGCAGCTCCTGAAGTAGAGGGAGACACAGGATCCTGGCATTTCTGCTCACTGGCTGTGACCTGGGCAGGTCACCCTGAGCCTTGGGGTACACAGATGTAAAGCGGAGGTGCTGTACATTCATCTGGAGTGCATCTTATACGCCAGGCTCTAGCACGTGCCGCCCTGCTTTTCCTTTCGCTGCATTTCTGCGTACTTAGTTGTAACTAAATCTCGTGTGTTTGTGAGTCCACTCTCCTGCTGGAGATTGTGGCCGGGCACATATCTATCTCCATTAACTGATGCATCCTCATGTCTGTTGGCAGTCAGAATGCCTGATTTGCCCTTACCTCTCTGGATTGCAGACCTGATCTAGTCCTAGCCCAAGCCAGGGTACCTAGCAGGCAATAGGGACGTCTGTTGGGTAGGTGGGTAGACGGTTGGATGGATACGTAGGGTGTTGGTTCTGCCCTGAGTAGCTTCTGTTGGTGTTTCTCACAACGTGAAACTAACCATGGGGGATAGGAAAGTAGCCTTGTTGTTGTTGTTTTAAATAAGGTGTTGCTCTGTTGCCCAGGCTGGAGTGCAGTGGTGTGGTCATGGCTCACTCAAACTCCTGGGCTCAAGTGAATCTCCCACCTCTGCCTACTGAGTAGCTAGGACTACAAGCATGCACCACCACACCTAGCTAAGTATTTATTTATTTACTTTTTAATGTACAGATAAGGTCTTGCTGTGTTCCCCACACGTCTCAAATTCCTGGCCTCAAGTGATCCTCCCACTTTAGCCTCCCAAAGTGTTGGGATTACAGGCGTGAGCCACTGTGCCTGGTCTTTAGCCACTTTTTATGCAGGATAAATCCTGATGACTTTTTGCTAAAGAGGCATCAGCAGGAGTTGACATGTTCCCCACCACCCCCAGGGGTCTACTGAGGGGTCTCAGGGCCTACGCTGCCCCACCTATGCACCAGGCCTGCTCCATTCCTTTGGAAACCTATTTATTGGTTTTGAGATGTATATTGAAGAGTTAGTTCGTTTTCTCATCTCTAAAAGGGAATCACAATCTTTGCTCCATAGTTCAGGTGCTGGTGGGGGACAGTGGTGCCTGCTTGCCTTGTGACAAGTGGTGCAATTCTGTCTGTGGTCACGAGGTGGCGGGCCAGGCCAGGTCCTGGGTTCTCTCATGGCCTAGGCAGGAAGCAGGAGGCCCCAGCCTGGTTCCAGCCAGCAGCAGGAGCTGCAGAAATGCCTGCTCGGAACATATACCTGCCTCCCTCAGGTGAAGGGCCCAGGGTTTGAACTGGCCTCGCTCTTCATGCTGGTGTTTTCCTCTTCGAACTCTCCTGCATTATTGAGTTTGAGCGCTACCATATATCTTGGGGCCTTTGTGTAGCAGGAATTATCGGCCCTGTTTCATTGATGAGGAAACACAGGAAGGTGTGTGATTGGCTCAGTGAAATAATTTCCTAGGTCTGCTGGTAGGGCTCTATGCTGGACCCTGGGAACACAAATGAGTCAGATGTGGGCCCTGCCCTCTCAGAATCTCATGAAATAAACAGACATGTAACATACGCAGCTGCAGAAGGAGCTTTGGGAGCCTAGTGGTGGAATTAGGTCATTTCTTCCTGGATGTCATGGGCAAAGTCATGATTGTAATCAGACCTGGGATTTTGGGTCACGTCTCTGGAGTGACGTGGATTGGAGGAGGCCTGGCCGGAGGCAGGAGGCTGGGTCGAGGCTGCTGCAGGAGGCAGGTTGTAGAACCTGAGCCTCAGCAGCTTAGAGATAGATTTCAGGGACAAAGGCCACCAAACTTAGAGTGAATTTATTCAAAAAATACTTCCTGAGTTTCTATAATGCCAAGCACTGTTCTAGGTTCCAGGGACACAGCACAGAAGAAAACAGTCTAAAAAAAAAAAAAATCCAGCTTATTGCTGGGTGCAGTGGCTCATGCCTGTAATCCCAGCACTTTGGGAGGCTGAGGCAGATGCAAAATGAGATCAGGAGTTTGAGACCAGCCTGGCCAACATGGTGAAACCCACCTCTACTGAAAATACAAAAATTAGCAGGGCATGGTGGCTGGTGCCTGTAATCTCAGCTACTCATAACACTGAGGCAGGATAATTGTTTCAACCTGGGAGGCAGAGGTTGCAGTGAGCCAAGATTGTGCCACCGAACTCCAGCCTAGGGGACAGAGCAAGACTCCATCTTGGGAGGAAAGAAAAACCCAGTTTCCTGCTGGGCGTGGTGGCTCACGCCTATAATCCCAGGGAGGCTGAAGTGGGAGGATCACCTGAGATCAGGAGTTTGAGACTAGCTTGGCCAACATGGTGAAACTCGGTCTCTACTAAAAATACAAAAGTTAGTCAGGCATGGTGGCACATGCCTGTAATCCCAGCTACTCTGGAGGCTAAGGCTAAACCCGGGAGGCGGAGGTTGCAGTAAGCCAATATTGTGCCACTGCACTCCAGCCTGGGCAACAGAGTAAGACTGTGTCTCAAGAAAATAAAAAGTCCCAGCTTCGTTCTAGTCAAGGAAACAAACAGGGTAAATGATGTACTGGGAAGTGGAGGCGTGGCATGTCAGGTGGTGGTAAACAGGCAAGAGTTAGGCAGGGTGACCAGGAAGCACCCCTGCAAACAGGACTTTTAAATAAATAAAGACCTGAAGGAAGTAGGAGGGCAGGCCACGGAGATACCCAGTGGCAGGAGGAACAGCAGGTGCAGGGCCATGTGTGGAACTTGCCTCGTGTGCTCAAGGTCCTGAAGGGAGGCCTGGGTGGCTAGAGCACAGCAGCAAAGGACGGGTGGGGGAAGAATCAGGAACAGTGGGGCTGGATCAGTAGGGTCTGGTGGAGAGCTCCTGGAGGGCTCGGGGCCAGGGAGGGATGTGGCTTGCCTTGGGTTTTTTTCCTCCAGATGGAGTCTTGCTCTGTCGCCAGGCTGGAGTGCAGTGGCTCAATCTTGGCTCACTGCAACCTCCACCTCCCAGGTTCAAGTGATTCTCCTGCCTCAGCCTCCCAAGTAGCTGGGACTACAGGTGTGTGCCACCATGCCTGGCTAATTTTTGTTTTATTTTATTTTGTGACAGAGTCTCGCTCTGTTGCCAGGCCGGAACACAGTGGTGCGACCTTAGCTTACTGAAACCTGCACTTCCTGGATTCAAGTGATTCTCCCGCCTCAGCCTCCCGAGTAGCTGGGACTACAGGCGCGTTCCACCACACCTGGCTAATTTTTTTGTATTTTTAGTAGAGATGGGGTTTCACCACGTTAGCCAGGATGGTCTCTATATCCTGACCTTGTGATCTGCCTGCCTTTGCCTCCCAAAGTGCTGGGATTACAGGCATGAGCCACCGCACCCGTCCAATTTTTGTATTTTTAGTAGAGATGGGGTTTCACCATGTTGGCCAGGATGATCTCAATCTCTTGACCTCATGATCTGCCCACCTCAGCCTCCCAAAGTGCTGGGATTACAAGCATGAGCCACTGTGCCCAGTCCTGACTTGAGTTTTAAATGGACCCCTCTGGCTGCTGGGAGGAGAGCAGACTGAAGGAAAAAAATAGACAGGTCTGGAAGTTCTTTCTAGGGGAGTGAAGCGTGGACTCAGTGCTGGCCAGGGAAGGGGACAATGGAATGGTCTGTGTTTCCAGGATGGAGCCAGCAGACCGCGCTGCGGCCAACCCATGAGGCATGAGAGAAAGAAGCGTCCTCCCTGACTTTGAAGGTTTCGGCACTTACTGGAAGGATAGACTTGTCTTTGGCTGAGATGGGGAAACCTGCGGGAGGAGCAGGTCTTGTGGGGCTTTGGGGGCTCTGTTTTGGGCATGCTAAAATTAAGGGGTCTCTTAGCCACCTGGGTGGACAAATCAAGTAAGCAGCTGCATACATGTGTTATATTCACAGGGAAGATCTGGAGGTGTACTTTGGGTGTTAATAGCAACTAGGTGGTTTTAAAGCCACAGAACTGGAGGAGGTCACCTGAGGACTGAGTGAGGGAAAAGAGACTGAAGGACCAAGCTCTGGAGCCCCAGCGTATAGATGTTGGGAAAAGGCGAGGGAGCCCCCTGTGTGGGGGAGGAACCGTGGGTGAGCATGGGGGCCTGGGAGCCAGGCAGAAAAAGCGTTTCAAGGAGGGAGTAAACAGCAGTGTTCGACTCTGCCAATAGCACCAGTGTGGTGAGGACTGAGAAGCTGCCGCTGGGTCTCATACCAAGGAGGTCATGCCGCTGCCGCTGGGTCTCATACCAAGTGGTCGGAGTAAGAGCAGGGTAGTTGAGGATGCCTTGCTCTCTAGTGCTCCAGTTTCAGTGGGTGGTGACACCCCAGCCTGCCCCCAGCTATAGCGGAAACAGAGGTGAGATGCTCCTGTGGCTGCCTGTTGGCCAGGGGAAGACACTGAGCAGCATCCTTTGTTCTTCAAAGGAACGTGTCCAGAGCATCTGTGCTCGGGCCTTGGGCAGTCTTCTCCCTCTCTGGCCCCACAGCTCCCCTAAGGCCATTCCTTTTTTTTTTTTTTTTTTTTCCTTATTTTTTTATTGCATTTTAGGTTTTGGGGTACATGTGCAGAGCATGCAATACAGTTGCATAGGTACACACATGGCAGTGTGTTCTGTTTGCTTTCACCCCTTCACCCACATTTGGCGTTTCTCCCCAGGCTATCCCTCCCCACCTCCCCCTCCCACTGGCCCTCCCCTTTTCCCCCCAATAGACACCAGTGTTTAGTACTCCCCTCTCTGTGTCCATGTTTTCTCATTTTTCATCACCCGCCTATGAGTGAGAATATGCGGTGTTTCATTTTCTGTTCTTGTGTCAGTTTGCTGAGAATGATGTTCTCCAGATTCATCCATGTCCCTACAAACGACACGAACTCATCATTTCTGATTGCTGCATAATATTCCATGGTGTATATGTGCCACATTTTCCCAATCCAGTCTATCATCAATGGGCATTTGGGTTGATTCCAGGTCTTTGCTATTGTAAACAGTGCTGCAATAAACATTCGTGTGCATGTGTCCTTATAGTAGAATGATTTATAGTCCTTTGGGTATATACCCAGTAATGGGATTGCTGGGTCAAATGGAATTTCTATTTCTAAGGCCTTGAGGAATCACCACACTGTCTTCCACAATGGTTGAACTAATTTACACACCCACCAACAGTGTAAAAGTGTTCTTTTTTCTCCACATCCTCTCCAGCATCTGTTGTCTCCAGATTTTTTAATGATCGCCATTCTAACTGGCGTGAGATGGTATCTCAATGTGGTTTTGATTTGCATCTCTCTGATGACCAGTGACGATGAGCATTTTTTCATATGATTGTTGGCCTCATATATGTCTTCTTTCGTAAAGTGTCGGTTCATATCCTTTGCCCACTTTTGAATGGGCTTGTTTTTTTCTTGTAAATCTGTTTGAGTTCTTCGTAAATTCTGGATATCAGCCCTTTTTCAGATGGGTAAACTGCAAAAATTTTTTCCCATTCTGTTGGTTGCTGATTCACTCTAGTGACTGTTTCTTTTGCCGTGCAGAAGCTGTGGAGTTTGATTAGGTCCCATTTGTCTATTTTGGCTTGTGTTGCCAATGCTTTTGGTGTTTTGTTCATGAAGTCCTTGCCTACTCCTATGTCCTGGATAGTTTTGCCTAGATTTCCTTCTAGGGTAAGGCCATTCCTTTTTGATGGCACCTTCTTATCCATGGTGAGGGCCACCTGCTGCCCCTCCCTCCTTCCCATCCCTGTGAGTGTCTTATGCTCCCTGGTCTTGAGCCTTTGGGGCCCCTGCTGCCCAGGCATTGGTTGGAAGCAGCCCTGGTTCAGAGCTCAGCTCTGCAATAAACATTCACTGTGTGACCCTAGAAAGTACACTCGACTTAGCCAGCCTGAGCCTTCATTTCCTCTTGAGCAGGAGGTTGGGCTCTGGATGTCTCGGGAGGTGGTTTGAAGGATTGGGGAAGCGGAAGCAGTTGGAAGCTACTCTGAGGTGTGGCATGAATGTGGGTGTGGCCATGATGGGCAGTGGTGCCCTGAGCTGCCCCTGAGTCTCTGCTCCCAGCCCTGCTCTGGGTAAGGGAGCAGGGCCAGCTGCTGAGTTCTGTCTCACCGCTGTTCTCTGCTCTCCCCGCAGGTGGAAGCCTTTCGGGCCACCATGGCACAGCGCCTGGTGCGCATGCTGCAGGTCTGCGCCGGCCATGTGCCTGGTGTCTCGGCTCTGAACCTGCTGTCCCTGCTGAGAAGCTCTGAGGGCCCCTCCCTGGAGGATATGTGAGGGCAGCTGGCCCTGGGCTTCCCCTCCCCATGGCTTCTTGCTGACTCCATACACATTCTCTGTTGAGGATGTTGAGGGCTTGACAGGCCCCAGCTCAGCCCTCAGTGGTTGGGAAAGTTCCCTGCAGTGCCCATGCTCTAGCAGGGAGATCTGGGCAGAAGCAGCAAAGGGCCCAGCTGTTGGGACTCCAGCCCCTCCCACTCCCATGCTCACTCTTGCAGATTCCTGTGTCTTTAAGTAGCTGGCGTGTTACATCTCCATTTAAGGTTTCCTTTGAACAAAAGGTCTGTGGCTAAAAAAAGTTTAAAAATCACTGGTCTAATTCACCTCTTTGACTTTGCAGATGAGGAAACTGACTCAGAACAATTAAGAGTAGGGTGGGGTGGGCCTGGCGCAGCGGCTCACACCTGTAATCCCAGCACATTGGGAGGCCAAGGCAAGCGGATCACTTGAGGTCAGGAGTTTGAGACCAGCCTGGCCAACATGGTGAAACCCCATCTCTACAAAAATACAAAAATTAGCCGGACGTGGCAGTCGGTGCCTGTAGTCCCAGCCATTTGGGAGGCTGAGGCAGGAGAATCACTTCAACCTGGGAGACAGAGGTTGCAGAGTTCAAACTGGTACAAATTAGGAATTGCACCACGTTGGAAGTTTGCAAGAAATGAGAGAAGCTGGCTAGAGGGCTCGTTTTTGGTTTGATGGTGAGAGATTGTGCAGTGATTGTTGCTTTCCTTCTTCCTTGGGTCTAATTGGAAATGTGTAGAAATGTGTAGAGGCACCACTGGACCCTAGAAGTCCTGTAGCCAGGTCAAGGCTCCTGCCACTGTATGAAGCAGGCTTGGCACGTGGGAACTTGGGGGTGAAGGGAGTGTCTAGAAGGAGAAACCTCAGGAAGAGAGCCAAGTTCTGACTCCTTGGAACATGACAGTGCCCTCCCCACCTTCACCCTGCATGTGCCACGGCCTGCCCTCAGGCCTCGGATGGACCCCGCTTGAAACCCTGGGCAGCACCTCGGACCTCAGGGCCTCTGCACATTTGTTTTGGCTGGTGGGGTTGGAGTCTCACTGTTTCCCAGGCTGGAGTGCAGTGACGTGATCTCAGATCACTGCAGCCTCTGCTTCCTGGTTCAAACGATTCTCCTGCCTCAGCCTCCGGAACAGCTGGGATTACAGGCATGTGCCACCACGCCTGGCTAATTTTTGTATTTTTAGTAAAGACAGGGTTTCACCATGTTGGCCAGGCTGGTCTTCAACTCCTGACCTCAGGTGATCTGCCTGCCTCAGCCTCCCAAAGTGCTGGGATTACAGGTGTGTACCACTATGCCCAGCTAATTTTTGTATTTTTAGTAGAGATGGGGTTTTGCCACGTTGGCCTGTCTGGTCTCCAACTCCTGACCTCAGGTGATCTGCCCGCCTTGGCCTCCCAGAGTGCTGGGATTACAGGTGTGAGCCACTGAGGCTGGCCTGAGGCCTGTTTCTCTGTTTGAATGTCACCATCACAGCTGGACCCATGCCCTTCACTGAGGGGTGGGCTACCTCCTAACTCCTTGTAGGTGTCAGGGATGTGGCCCTGTCTGCCCCTTTTTGTAGGTTCTTTCCGGATCTTAGCCCAGCCCCCACCCCCCACCCCCTAGTGCTCAGTAAAGGGTTGTAGACACCTGGCTGACTTCCTGGCAGACCCTTGGGCTCTGCTGAGGACCTCAGTCATATAGATTCCGGTCAAGGCCCCACATGTCACCCGACATTTGCAGGGCCCGTTATGCTTCACAGAGCTCTTCTCACACAGCAGAGCTATGAGGTAGATCATGTTTCCCCAATTCACAGTTCATGAAACAGACTGTTGTCATGGGAGTTGTCACAGTCACACGGCTAACCAGCAGCAGAGCCAGTCCCAGTCCCCTGCTTCTTCCCTCCAGTTTTCCTGTGCCTCATCCTTGAATAAAGGTTTGGAGGCTGGGCACGATGGCTCATGCCTATAATCCCAGTACTTTGGGAGGCCAAGGCGGGCGGATCACTTGAGGTTAAGAGTTGAAGACCTGCTTGGCCAACATGGTGAAACTCTGTCTCTACTAAAAATGCAAAATTAGCTGGGCGTGGTGGTGCTTATCTGTAATCCCAGCTACTTAAGAGGCAAAGGCAGGAGAATGGCTTGAACCCGGGAGGTGATTACAGTGAGCCAAGATCGCACCACTGCACTCCAGCCTGAGTGACAGAGCGAGGCTCTATGTCAAAAGAAAAAGGGGTTTGGGCATCTCTGCTGGGCAGGCCCCGAGCTGGAATACAGAGAGTGGAGACAGCCCGTGCCCCCTAGAAAGCAGCAGTCAGCAAGCCACAGTTCCTGCCTCAGGATGGGACCACTAGGACACTGAGCATCGAGGGAGGGCACAGGGTGGCAGGATAGGCCAAGGGCAGAGGCCCTTAGTGTGAGAACAGCACAGTGCAGGCACTGGGCCTGAGCAGGCCTTCGCCAGCAGCGATAAGCCCCTTGGGCACTTGGTCAGGGAAGCCAGCCTCTCTGGTGGAGGAGGGGTGGCTCCAAGGCGGAAGGAAGAGGCTGGAGGTAAAGCTTCACATCGGTCCCTGAAGGGATGGGCAGTAACAGCAGAGACCCGGAAGGCCAGCCTTCCCAGAGAGTGACATTGTCTTCAGCCCCTCTGTCCTGGGCCAAAAAGGGCAGCTTTGCAGTGTGACTGGGCAATAAAGTAGTCTTTGGGGGGGCTGATGGAGTCAGGGGTCCAAGCAGGGGAGGAAGGCAGTGTAGATGCAGCCTTCCTGCTCTTCTGGGATGTCACTTTTTGCTGGAGACAAAAAGAGGCCTTCCCCACACGCCCTCCCCCGCCCCCCAGCCCGCATGGGGCACCTCTCTCAGGTCCCTGTGCCACATTTTCCTTGCCACCTGGTACCATTTAACAAGAGAAGTGGCATTGCATTCTCCAGCCAAGGGGCTGGGAACCTTCCAAGCACTGGGGAACACAGTGCTGTCACTGCCGCCAGCTCCCAGCTGAGATTGGCAGGGGCCCTGGAACCAACAGGCCTCCCCTCTGGAGTTGGGGGCTGGCCTGCCCCTGCCTCACAGCAGAGCTGAACCACACTTAAATGGCAGGCAGGTGCCCTCAGACCTGCTGTCCCTGGAAGGCGGGGGATGGGTGGCCAGAGGGTGGGGCTGCTTCGTGCCATCTGGAGACCATTGACATTGTCCAGGAGACAATTCGACCGAGGGAAGTAATGGAAGATCAGTGTGTGCCCGGAATTGCTGCTTGGTACTGAGGGGAGGTGGAGGGAGATGGGAGAGGCTGGGTTTGGCTGCTTGTTTGGTGGCATAACCTCAGGCAGGTCACACCCTCAGCAAGCCTCAGTTTCTCAGCTGTAGCATGGCACCAGGCTTACTGATGCCTTTCTTCTTAGCTGATTGAGGACTGGCAATGAAGAAGCCACTATTTTATGTATATATTTAGAGATGGGGTCTTGCTTTGCTGCCCAGGCTGGTCTCAAACTCCTGGCCTCAAGCCCATTATTTTTATTTATTTATTTTTGTTGAGACAGAGTCTCGCTCTGTTGCCAGGCTGGAGTTCAGTGACATGATCTCGGCTCACTGTAACCTCCACCTCCCGGGTTCAAGTGATTCTCCTGCCTTAGCCTCCCGAGTAGTTGAGATTACAGGCCTGTGCCGCTATGACTGGCTAATTTTTGTATTTTTAGTAGAGATGGTGTTTCACCATGTTGGCCAGGCTGGCCTCGAACCCCTGACCCCGTGATCCACCCGCCTTGGCCTCCCAAAGTGCTGGGATTATACAGGTATGAGCCATCGCGCCCAGACTTTTTTGTTTTTCTTTGAGACGGAATCTCACTCTGTCACCCAGGCTGGAGTGCAGTGTCCATCTCCTGGGTTCCAGCCATTCTCCTGCTTTAGCCTGCCGAGTAGTTGGGACTATAGGTGTGCACCACCATGCCTGGCTGTTTTTTTTATTTTCTATTTTTAGTAGAGATGGGGTTTCACCATGTTGGCCAGGCTGGTCTTGAATGCCTGACCTCAAGTGATCCTCCCACCTTGGCCTCCCAAAGTTCTGGGATTACAGACGTCAGCCACCATGCCCAGCCTATTAAAGACTTCTATACCACTTTTTTTAAGACGTAGTTTTGCTCTTGTTGACCAGGCTGGAGTGCAATAGCACAATCTCAGGCTCACCACAGTCTTTGCCTCCTGGGTTCAAGCAAGTCTTCTGCCTCAGCCTCCTGAGTAGCTGGGACTACAGGCATGTACCACCATGCCCGGCTAATTTTGTATTTTTAGTAGAGACGGGGTTTCTCCATGTTGGTCAGGCTGGTCTTGAACACCAGACCTCAGGTGATCTGGCCGCCTCAGTCTCCCAAAGTGCTGGGATTACAGGTGAGAGCCACTGCGCCCAGCCAGCATGCTCTACTTTTAATTCACTGAATACTCTTAGAAAAAGATAATTTGGGCTGGGCGCAGTGGCTCACACCTATAATCCCAGCACTTTGGGAGGCTAAGGCAGGTGGGTCACAAGGTCAGGAGTTTGAGAGCAGCCTGACCAACATGGTGAAACCCCATCTCTACTAAAAAATTAGTGGGGCATGGTGGCGCACAGCTGTAATACCGGCTACTCAGGAGGCTGAGGCAGGAGAATCGCTTGAACCTGGGAGGCGGAGGTTGCAGCCACTGTACTCCATCCTGGGTGAAGAGCAAGACTCCATCTCAAAAAAAAAAATTTAGCTCGGTGTCTGTAATCCCAGGTACTAGGGAGGCTGAAGGAAGAATTCTTTGAACCCAGAAGGCAGAGGTTGCAGTGAGCTGAGGTCGTGCCACTGCACTCCAGCCTGGATGACAGAGCGAGA